GCCAGGAGACTGAGGACAAGCCAATAATTACGCAATGCAACATTTAATATTGTAATTATGTAATTCTGTACTCAAATATAACTTATTTACGATATATGAAAGCAAAAAAATTATATAGATAGTAATGGATTTTAAATAAATACGTACCAGGATATGTTTGACTGGCCGCAGCAAAACCTCACACACACAACTCACCGTAGCGACCAAACAATTGCGAGCCGAGAACCGCGCGAGTGATTGAAAATCACTTTAATTAGATCATTTTCTCTGACCGAACAGCAATGCGCTAGACGCGGTAATTCGAACTGATTTTAACGTGTTTTGATGTAGCAGGATACTGAGATAAAAACCGAGAGACAAAATATAATGCATTTAAAAAAAATAAGTTTCGCATTTAAGATAAAATTAGAGAAACACATTGAAACTATATATATTATACATTCCTATTTTAGTGCAGATATTTATGTTTATAAACTTTCATTACAGGCGAGAGACATGTCAGGATACTGAGAATTCGTAACATTAAATTATAATTTTTGATAGATATATATGTAGGAGTGAGCTAATTTTTAGTGTCATAATAGAAATCATTTAGTTGTACATATTCGATCCTAATTCAATATAATTTGCCTACAAAAACTGTATAAAATAGGGTGAGCCGCGGAAAATTCCCTTGCAAGTAGAACCACCCATATAATATTATTTTATATATTTCTGCTCAGGTTTAATACAGAGAAACATTAAATTCTCAATTTCAAAAGTACTATTTACGGGGAATAAATGTTTCACTTCCCATGTGACAGATTCACGAGTAGTTAATAAATGTAAATGCATAAAAAACAGGATATAATAATCGGTATAAAATTCGAAAGTAAAATATTAAAATTCTTAATCAAAAAACCAAATTCTCAATTAAAAAAAACTGACAATCTCAAAAACTAAAATCTCAAATATACTATAACTAACTTAGAAATATAACTAAAACTAACTTAACATCTAAATTGGCACTACATCACTAGATGCATAATGCAAAACTAGAACAACAAAATTAAGCGTTACATAATACAGCAAAAATGGCATTAAAAAGTTGGTCCCATTTAAAGGAATATCTTAAATAGTTTACATTTCCATTGCATTGTTTATAAAACTAGACATTCACTTGTGACAGACAAAAAAACTATGTTTTGTTTGTTTACACATTACTGGATGTCTATATGAGATATTATGTACTAGCGAAAACGGCGTTATACGAACAAAATGTAATAATTATTTAACACTTGTTTAAAATTTCAATATATATTTTTTAACTCTATAGGCAATAAATTGGAGGTGTATGGGAAGCGGCAATCGTATATTATGAAACAATACCATGAACATCGTTATTATGCGATACTCGTGATACAACTCATGCGTTGTATCACGAGTATGTCATAATAACCACCATTCCACCATACCATTCTGGAGGGCTATGATGTCATACCTCCTTACAAATTACTTAATTATACTATTGGTTTTACTACACGTAATAAAAAGTCATTTAGTACCAACATACAAGCATTCGTAGCGAACGCGTGGACTACATTTAATAAAAAACTATTCAGTCCTTAGCGAGCGCTTGGAAGTGTGGTGATATCACTACAATTGACAAATGACGTGTATCTAAGACGTTAGTACATAATACCTCAATGTATTTCCATAGATTTGTATCCCGCGCTCACACATTACATATTGGTAGTTCAAATAATGAGAGGTAGATATTTAACTCGTATTAAATCATAATGTAAAATAGCTCCGTGGCGAGTTGGACTCCCACTTACCCTAGTTCCTATTCTGAATTCTATTAAGATAACAGATTATACTTCTATCATCTGTTAAGGGGCCATCCAAAACTTCGCAATTTCAGTCCTCTTTACCCAATTTAACAGCTGGTCACAACAATTTCAGTCTTTTTACACTCTTTCACAGCCAGTCACATTTAAATTGTTATATTTCGTGTTTTATTACGAAAAATGAGACTACACAAAATGTACTCCTTCTAGCGTGTCACAGTTTATGAATGGTCCCTAAATTAGCAGTCGTCAATACAAATGGTAGTATAATTATTTAATGACAGTATATTTATTAATGTTTAAATTTTCCCAATATACGGGGTTAGTCGTAGATTCAACTGGAATTCAAATAAAATACATACGAAAAAGAACCACAGTTACAAAGAAACTAATTGGAAATATAAAACTTGATTTCAATCTTTTGTTTGAACATACTATTTTCTATTTTGCCTCCGAGATAATTATTTCGTTTCATAGAAACTATACTAAATATTTACTATCAATGACTTGCGACATGATATTTGTTGCGAGGTAATAATACGATGTCGGTAGAGACGATGTATATTACAGATGATTTCCATTATATTCTCTACATCTAACCCTGTCTACTGGATGCTTATTGAATATCTAAAATTAGTAGTTATATGTAATATCGCCCTCAAATCGACGAATAATTTATTTGTCCTGTCATTGTAGCTTGAATAATAAATCAGATAATTATTCCCTAAATTCAACAACCTAATTCATAAGGCACTTAGTATAATTAAAACTGAGTGTATTATATAAAACATTAAATATATAAATATGTGCACATAATATAAAAAATATACCAGCATATTTAAGATACAACAATCACTTGTAGAAATTGAGGTAAAATATTATATATAATTCTTACGGGAACATTATTATACCAAAGCGGCTCTGGTGGATTCTTAAAACAGCGTAAAATTTAAGGCGACACCCATTCAAATGACATATTAAGAAAACATAATTACTTATTTAATAAAACAAATGAAATTACAATAAAAAAAAAAACAATTTCTGTCTAAAAACAGTAGAATGTTTGTTTTAAATGTAACAAAAACCCTAGCAGTAGTTGTATTCTTAAACCTTCGAACAAGAAGACGTCTGGTAAAACAGTAAAAACCAATGAGTAAAATAATGCTTCGCTTGCGAATTCCATCACAAACTAACTTAAACATTATCATTTGTAATTAAGGTTTAAGTTACATTGAAATTAGTTTTATATAGATTTTTTATTACAAATTAAAGATATAGTGTAGATTCTTTTATTTAGTTATATAGTTGGTACTGCTAACTGAGAATTAACAGACATAAATAAAATGACAAAACACCTATGTTTATGAATTACAGTATCTGTGAAATATTAATATTATCACAGACAGTCTTATTGTCTATGCTCTCACTTTTTCTATATCAACTTTAAATTCACAATTAAACGATATAAACCATATTTTCTATAATTGAAAATTATTATATAATATCATACATAATACGGGAATAAAACGAAAGAATCTCAGATCAATAAGTTAAAATCACTCAATTGTAATCGGAATTCTTTTCACATTATAATAAAAGATGTATAGAGGTTAAAAGAAATACGAAAAATAAACTGACTTGGTAATAAATCCAATATATATATATAAACTAATCTGGTTATTTAATTATTACATAAACATATTATTAATTCGGTTGATACGAGGACTAGCTTATTTAGGTGGAAATTAAATTTTCTTGGATATGTTTTAAATTTGAGACGGTCATTATTTATAATACAATTAGGAAAAATCACCGGATCTTACCACGTTTTATGTATTTTTATTGAGTTAGTTTGAAATGTTACATAGAGTGACAACCCTGAATCTGCATAGAGTGGCATCCCTGTCATGTTGCCACATCAGTACCACACAGTCAGCGTTCCGTGTTGGGTCCGCTTCTAAGAAAGTTGCCGAATCAGATACACCAACGTATTTCATCATCATCATTCATGAATTGATTCATCCATCGTGGAAGTATCACATAGTAGTAATTAATTATAAGAATATTTAATGTTAAAATTTTATATTATGATCAAATATATATAGTTATAAATTGCATTTTAATGCAAACACTGGCTGTCCTGCATGTTTGAAACACTGCCGAAATATCGGGAATTCAATAAAAATAAATAAAACGTGGTAAGATCCCGTGATTTTTCCTAATTACTGGGATATATTTTGAAAGTGCAGTACAATATCATCGTAAACCATTTGATCATTTAGGACTTATTATTCATTAAATAATAAATAAACTAATTAAAGAGGTAATATCAAATTTTCTAAAATCAAGTCGGCATCGAAGTTTGATGTCCTCCAATTCTTTTTTTAATAGAAATTGTATGTTCTACAAGCGTATGAATAACTGATGGTAAGTGGTGTTCATCGCTTAAATAAGTCACTAGACGTCTATGGTGTCCCTTATATGTTGCCATTTCTGAGGAATAAGATATATATACTAGCTACTCGCTCCGGCTTCGCACGGGTGTACATGTATTATACATACATAAACCTTCCTCTTGAATCACTCTTGTAGTGTGTAATTTTAAAGATTTTAGCATACATAAGGACAGATAGCGTCATGATTCTCTATTTACACTGCTATATGTCAACAAATACAGCTGTTTGGTAACAGTAAGAGGTTAGATAAAGGTAGACCTTTAAGACTTTGTGCTAAAACTAGCAGGCTTTATTCTCTAAGAGCCAAAGATTCTAAAATCTCAATGAAAATTGTCATAAATTTGACAGATTACTTGGTGTATGCTAGTCAGTATAGACGTAAAGTTGGACATCTATACCTTGTACACTTCTAAGAGCTAAAAGATTCTAAAATCTTAATGAAAAATGTAAATTTGACAGATTACTTTGTGTCAGCTAGTCACTGTAGACGCAAAGTTAGACATCTATACCTCGTAGGCTTCTAAGAGCCAAAAGATCCTAAAATCTTAATAAATGTCAAACATTTGATTTATTATTAAGATTTTTTGGTGTAAGCTAGTCAGTGTAGACATAAAGATGGACTTCTATAGCTCGTAGGCTTCTAAAAGAGCTAAAAGACTCTAAAGTCTCGATGAAAAATGTCACAACGATTACGTAGTGTAAGCATGTCAGTGTAGACATACAAATTGGGCACTGCGTTACCCGCATCACCATTGTTACCATGTCACCGAATATACAGCTTACAAGGGTAGCTACTTAATAACAATAAAGCAGACAACTCTACGCACCCAGGGCTTGTACAAACTCTTTAACTTGTAGGCTTTTGAGAGCTAAAACATTAATTAAAATCTCCATTATAATGTTATAAATTTTACTTGGTATCCACTAATTAGTGTAATCGTAAAAGCTGGGGGTCCTGCAGTACTTTGCAACGAGAGCCTTCCTGCTGTTGTTAGTGTGTTTAAGGTTAGCTGATAAACCTATATGGCATCTTGTAAGCTACAAGAGTAGCCACTTATTGACAAAGAAAAACGAGACAAAGCACCCACGTCTTGAACAAAATCTACAACATGTAGCTTCAAAAATCTTAAAGATTCTAAAATCTTCATTAAAAATGTCATAAATTTTACAGATTACTTGGTGCGAGTTAATCAGTGTAGACGTAGAAGTTGGGCGTCCCGCAGTACTTTGCAGCGAGAGCCTTCCCCGCTGATGTAGGCGCGCTGAAGGCGAGCTGATGGACCTGTACAGCATCACCCAGTAGTAGAGATGCGCGCGCGCAGTCCAGCAAACGAGCAGCCACGCCGCGACGTCTCCGGGATGGGTGCGTCCAAATACGAGATACGCCCATCCTGCAAACGGAATAGAATTCTTTAAGATACAAGTAATTGTAGTTTTCGCGCAAACTAGATGGCGCCATAGGAAAATTTAAATAAGTTATGATGTCTGTAGTATTATTTAACAAAAAGAAACCTTCAATACCAGCTTTTTGACCACACGGTACCTAGTTGTTCAAGAATAGAATAGAATAGAAAATCCTTTATTCAAATAATCTTGATTTAAGCACTTTTGATAACTGGCCTCTGGAATGCCAGTGGGAGTGGTAATATGGTATCTTTTTTTCCGACTACTCTAATGCTGTATGCCGCAGATTACAGCTTCACCGGACGATAGATAGGGGCCAGTGCAAACGGCACTCCAAACCCGCATAACTAATTACATAGAATTGAAAAAAAAATACTATGTAAATAATTTACGTTAATGTAAATAATAACATCACGACGGTTATCCCAGATAGGTTAGTCAGAGATATTGTCAAAGTCGTGATGAACACAACACTTCACATGGTCACATATTTGAATCCAATGTGGCAGATCCTACCGCCGTCATCCAGATTTTGTTTTGGTTTGTTACAAGTGTTTCATCCACTGGAGAATCAGTCACAAATATACACACAAACAACAAAGCTTTTTATTGGTCACTAAATTGGTTATAATCGTGTATTAGACTATGACGCTTTTACGATGTAGAATATAGGAAACATTACACTACTCACTTGATTGTATATTCTTCCTCGCTACAACAGTCCGGGTCGCCGGGTATCAGTTTGTGCGCCTTTGTTTTGGGCTCTACTATCAAGCAGCCCGTTATTTGTTTATTTTCTATGTACAGATAGGCCTGCAAGTAAAGCATTTATAAATCTACTATAGATACGGAAAAATTGTTTCCTTATAGAACTAACTTTTTAATTCGAGAGAAAGTGTTCAATGAACAAAACGGTTCTTAATTATCTATTGTTGTCATAATATATATGTAAATTTCTCTTTTATTTAATTTTATTGGTGTATCATTATTATGTATTATAGTAGGTATATATTTATATTTATGTATGTATATTTGTAATTATTTTTAAGAAAACCTATACCTATACCAATGTTAGGTAAAATTATAGGTTAGTCTTTTCCCACCACTGCCCATCAACCGCTTTCTGTTCTTACCTAATGGTTAGCTGATAGAGAATGCCATATGGCATTAAGCTCGCCAAATTGTAAAATTTTTAAAAGTGCAATAAAGAATAAATAAATAAATAAAAGTGTAACTGAAACTAGTTGTTAAAGCATGGGCTATGATTGGGAGGAATTTCATGATTTCTAGAAGTATATTGTAACAAAGTTGCAAGTTCCAGAAGCTCGCTGTGTTGCTTGAGAGGAGGCAATGAAATTATAGGGATATGAGGCATGAAACATTAGTACTCCTGAAAGACAACACACGGTCGTCACAGGATTACGTGATATCCATAATTTTGTTCATGTATATAGGTGGCGGATACTAAAAGAGAATCAAAAAACGTTAAACTAGTTAGTTTTATTACCATTTTTTTCGTACTATCTAATGCTGTTGGCCACAGCTGGCGTTTAGAACTTCACCGAACAATAGGGGGCGAGTGCAGGTACTTGCGCGGAAGGATTTATGGAACGGCTGAAAGCCAACTCCTGCCAGACGGATATGACTGAGTCTGACGGTACTGCTAGGGGTTCGAACCTCGGAAATTATTACCTGTAGTAGTATATTTATATGCAACCCCTAGCAGCGCCTTATGAATAATAACACTATAAAAAACAGTTTAGACCCAATTGTGAACTCAAAACAAACAAATATGAGGTTTATCATTTGTCATTAAAGTTACATTAACATTAATTATGTGTAAATTACACAACACCATATCATATATCGTGTAATGTAATTTAATTTGAATTAGACTCTATTTTCCGCAATCATCCTCTAATCTGGGTCACTGAACGTGTAGAGCCGAGTCTACTAATGTAGCCAAGTTCCTCCCAGAAGCGTAGAAGTCTCGGTATCACAGGCTTCACGGAGCGACCTCACCGTTCCGAGGATTTGTGTTTGTTGTGTGGCACCGCTACGCACTCTAGGATTTCGTGAGCGACGGTTCTTCGGCTTCAAAGCAACCCCGACAAAGGGGACTCTGTCTGTAGGAGCTATTGTGTACAGGTGTTTGTTTAAGGGACAACGAGTCGTTATTATTCCTATCTTTATTTTGAGATTCTGCCTATTTAGGTTAATCGTTGGTTATCATATCATCACAGACGCAAAATCTTTAAATTAGTGTCATGTAATTTTACGGCATCATAGACTCTGAAAGTAACAGAATAGAGTATAATTTCGTCTGGACATGATACTGACCGTGTAGGCATGCAGCGTGGTTGAAGGTAGAGCCGGCGGCAGTCCCAGCTGTGGGTGTACGAGCCGCTCCAGCAGCGAGTTAACACGCCGCCAGCCCGCGCCCCCGCCACGTACACGAACACACCGCCCACTCTCCCACGAGCCCACCACGCACTCCTCCTTCCACCCCTGATAAAACATGAACACAATCCAATTATCTATACATATAAATAAAATTAGAGTGTCTGTTTGTAATATTGAAATAACAGTTATTTACTACATGTATATGAATATAAATATGGTACATACATACACCAAAATAACATTTTTTACCATTTTTGTCTGTCTGTTTGTTCCGGCTAATCTCTGAAATCGCTGGACCGATTTTGATGGGACTTTTATTGGCAGATCTATTTTTCATACCCCTAAGTGATAAGGGTTGTCCACCCCTAATATTTAATTTTTTGACAATGATTATTATTTTATAATGTGGCATTAAAAAATACATACAACCCTAAGTTTTCACCCTTTTCACCTTTTCTTTTTTTCTTCAAACAATGGGTTTGCAGGGTCAGCTAGTGAATATATATTAACCTACTTGTGCTCGCGGATCACAAACTTCCGCGTTTCTAATATCATTACATATGTATGCTTAAATCTTTAAAACTATGCAATGAATTTTGAAGCTGTTTTTTTAATAAATAGAGTGATTCTGGAGGAAGGTTTATATATATAATATGTATGTATTTACGAAAAAAAAGGAAAATCCATGTATATGTATCAGTTATCTAGTACCCATAAAACAATTAGCTTAACTTGGTTCTAGATGGCTCTCATGAATTTACATTGAGATTATTATTATTACTTCATTAATAACACAAGCAACACTTACATTAAACCGTAGTACATCTGTTGCGTTGTGATGAACCAAGTGATCATGCTCATCCTGAGGATCGCCAACCTGCAGAAAAATAATTACATTTATAAAGAAGAGGAAGGTCGAAGAAAAAGAGATGGATGTATTGTGGGAAAGATGATATGGTAAGAAAGGGAGTAAATAACGAAATGACTGTGAACAGGGATGAATTGAAGAGAAAACATATTATGTCGATCCCAAATAAATGGGATAAGGAAGAAGCAGATGATGGACATTACTATGAATAAAATCTTTATATTACTATTTACTTGTACGGAGTCATCTGCTCTGATAACTGTGACTGATTTATTTTGTTACTATTGTAACCTTTATTTTTACTTTGTTATTTGTATTATTATACTATCATATGTAATATTATATTATCTTTGATATTACTGTAAATACGAACTTCTTAACAACATTTACTTGAAAAAGCAACACACAAGTTTCTTGTTCATTCTTATTGTGTTCAGTCTGTGTTCAGAATGAGAGGTAGAATTAAAAAATTATGACTATTCAAAATTGCTTATAGTTTATTTGAATAAATATTATTTCTGTTCTATTCCTGATCTTCAGAGTATGACGATAATTTCACGATATCTTAATTAATAGTAGAATAATTATTACAAATCATGTTACCTGATATATAACTCCGCATTCAGTACACTGTGTAGCGCCGAACCGCTTCTGACCAGCGTCAATTACGTATTGCTTAGATCCGTCTTTTAGTATACACTTTTTACTTTTATCCGACGCTGCAAATTAACATATAAACAAATAAATATTGTTTCAACAATATTACAAAATCAAACTTTTTTCAACACACTTTTTCGTAAAGTGGATCTAATTTAATAAGTTTCGCGATATACATATAAAGTAGATCATAAAACACGCGTGCGTTATAAACGCAAATAGTGGAGTTATATTTTAAGAGAAGTTTATATACTATAAATTAGTGAAAACCACGCAAAATCATTTGCAGTAGGGAGTCAAACAGACAAAAATTTCTAGCATACTTTTTTTGGCATCTAATATAATTTTAACATTATTTTGGATTCCTTTATAAATATGCATATAATATAGGCTCTGCTTGGCTTGAGACTAGATGGCGCTGTGTGAATTGTCTATGATTCTTATTATAATCGATATACATCTTACAAAACAAGCAGTTTGCCGGCTGAAATAGGTTGTAATGTTTACATACGAAAATTACTCCCTCCAAATCGAGACTCACTCTGTGAGAGTAACATTTGGTTGAGATGGTAAAATGATGCTTCAATGTTTCAAATCTAAACATTAAATTAAACTTCAGTTTATCAAAATAAATAAGAATACCTTTGGAATTTGTGTTTGATGTTCCCGAGTTTGGATTGCTGAAGATCGGGAATAGCTTTTGTGTTTTGTCTGTTTTTGCAGCTTCTTCCATTGACACTGCAGGTGTAGCAACTAAAACAATAATATAATCAAGTAACTAATACATACATATACATAACTATAATACATATTATATTTATATCTTTACATAGTAATAATGAAATCTATCCCAAAACCCCGAAAGTTTCCAGCTGGAATTGAAAAACAGCTTTGAATGTCTCGGTGATTGCGTAGACGTGGACTATTACGATAGGTTCGTGGAAACTGTCAATGCGGTTGGGTCTAAGCACATCAAAACCTGCCGCATAGAAAGAACCGGAAAAATATCAAACTCTACCCTCAAACCAGAGATTTTAGGGAGCTCCGTAACCGTAACCGAAACTGTCGGATATCCGATATAAAAAAATATTCGTAACCGTAACCGAATTCGAAATAAAAGTTTCGGATAATATCGGATAGGGGTGGTACCTAATTGAGACACGTTATGTAACCATTTTATTAGCTGTTTGTATTTTACTTTTGAAATTCCTTAAAAAGTTAATATCCGTAACCGAAATTATCCGAAACTAACGGATAATCCGAAATAATTTCATATCTACATCAAGGGGTACAAAGGAGGTGTTTTTCACTTATTAATCTTCATCATCACAATACTGTCTTCTTCATCACAATTTAGAGTATTGTGATGAAGAAGACATCATCATGATGAATTATTAGATGTGATGTTACCTGGTGGTATTGTTGTCTCGGTGGATGCGAGTACCGCTTGTGGATTGATGTTGTTAGACTCAGCCATTTTCAATATTTGTTCATCCAGCATTTTCAGCTCTCGCTCTATCTCGTCCAGATCTGGTAACTCATCTTGAGCTGAGAAAAAAAATATTAATAAGTAACTCATAGCTTGTAGGAAATCTCTGGGTCTTGTAATTATGATTTTTCTATATTTGTATACATATTTTTATATTGAAGTTTATTTTTATGTGAGAGTATCAGATTTTATCTTTTATTAATTCATATACAATAATACAGGTATAGTTAACAAAATAATAAACATGAGTAATAAATTAAAATAGATGAGGAAAAATTTTAGGACACATGATATGGCACAATGAATTTATAAAAATTATTATAGAGGGAAAAATAAGTAAATAAAGCGAGGGGAATACGAAGGCACAGCCACATCAAGCAAATTAAAAACAAAATTGAAGTCGTGTCGTAAAAACATTTAAAGAGCAAGATAGAAGATTGTGGAAAGTGAGGCAAGAGTTCTTAAATTATGTATGAATAAATATTTTATATCAGTACACCCACCTTGTTGTCCATCATCCACTAATATATATCCGCCTTCAACAGGTAAAAACTGTCCACTCTTAGACAAATCACCGTGGTTTGCTTTGTGACCATCCGGCTCCGACATGACCACGTCATGCGGCGCTTCAGTTGTTTGCGGTAATGAATCAACAGTTTGTGGTATACCACTACCATTCAATGGTAATACCATCTCGTTCTTAGACCCCAGTTCAACAATAACGGCATCCGAATCTTGTGGTAAACTTGGTACCAACACAGGAACTGCAGTGATTGGTTGGAAGATCTGCCTAGTTTCTTCAATAACAGAGTTGTTGAAGCATGGTATTTCTGGTCTGGACTTTGAATATGAGAGTTCGGAATCGGGAATTTCTTCCTCTGTCCATTGGCTGAGGAGTGCTTCAATAGTTTCCTTTTCCTTCACGAATGGGTCCATTTTATCTATATACAAATAAATTATTAATATATTTAAAATTTTATTTTTAAAATATCTTTTTTTATGTAATTGGCTAACAAGCTGGTGGGTCACCTGATTGTAAGTGGTAACCGTCGCACTACTTACATCACGTTATCATATAGATATCCATGATACCATCCATGTGTTGCCACTCTAGAGGACTAAGATGTTATCCCTCTTATCCTGTAATTACACTGCCTAATCTGCATCTCATAGCCAAAATACGTGTTACAATGTAAGTTACTTGGTGGCTGAAATAAGTCAGATTGAGATACAGAAGAAGAACAAAAGAGACCCACACAGACAACATTTTACAGTCTGTCTCTTCATTATCTAATGAATATTAAAAAATATATAATATATATTACAAAAGTTTTATTAAATATAAATTACTCATAATGTACTCACCATTGCCAAGTTCCTGTGAAGTGTTCTGACTCAAAACAGAACTATCATTATTACTCTCATTAGTTGCAGTAGTGCTCTTTACTGATGTATCCATCGAATTATTTAGAGGCCTAACTCCATTAATAATCTTAGCTCTATTTACTTTCGGCTTTCTGATTTTATGTTTCACACCAGAGTTTATCTGGCCAGGCTTCCTTTTACGTTTATGAGAATTGAAATGTGATAATGGTCGGCGGTTATGAATGCTAGTTATTTCTATAGCACTGGAAATCTTAGTTGTTACATTGCTATTTAATTCAGGGTTACTTTTACCGTAGAACGATTTTGCAGATAAAATTTCCTTGAGTCTCTCACTATTGAACAGTGACGTACGAGCTTTGGGCGCCGCATTTTCTAGTCTGGGATACTTTGAATTCGGCCCACCATCCGTTACACTATCATTCCTAATTCTCTTTTGACTTTTCTCGCTGTCACAATACGATTCTGGGCTCTCGTCGATCTCGACAACGGAGCGACGATTGTGACTTATTTTTGGAGGTGATTGAGTGTCAGTTGTATTACGGGGTGTCTTCAACATTTGAGTTGGTGATATGACACTACTCAAGTCCATTTTAGTTAGGCAAACTACGGCTGTCTTCATTGGAGAAATGTTCTTTTTCTGTTCTAGCAATACACCTTTGAAGCTTTGTATTTTAGGCGTCATTTTCTGTCTCCTGTTCGAGCGTCGAAGACCTTTTGTTGGTGTGTTTTCCTTAGAGTCTGTTCCAGAATCTGTATCAAAGTTGAGGTCTTTCAGAGAACTGCTACAGCTTTCTGTGTCAGCTATAAGGTTAGCCAAGCTTTTGCGGGCTCGACTGGAAGTGGACGAGTTTGTATTTATGCTACCACAGGAGTGTGTTGATGAAGGGGTTCCAGGCTGATTGTGGAAATGCGGAGTAGCTGGTGTGGATACAGACCCCGTACATTTGGAGTCACCACAAGAATACCTAGTCTGGTACTTTTTCAGTGTGAATGGGGATTTAATGAAATTCTTTAAGTCTTGGTTCACCTTCAGCAGTTTTTTAGTTTGACTGCGGGTCTCATCTGTAAAGAAATGAACATCCGTAATTTGAAGGAGTTATTTTAAAAATATACATAACTTTTTAATTAAAATCAGTATATTGCAATACATATAATTAAATTTGGAATTAGATGTTTTAATACCCTACCTACCATACCACCATACTATTCTTAAAATTAACAATAACCAACTCTGAAATATAAATTATATTATTTAAGTACCTGAAAATGTCTTATTGCAGAGAGTAAGAATGTAATAATAAATTTAAAAACTGATTACTAATAAATAATTAGTAATCAGTTTTTAAATTTATTATTTAATGGTTTTATTAGTATAATTGTATAGTAACTTATTATAAATATTTATAAATTAATTAAATTTAACAATTAATAGATAAAATTGCAACAAGTGACTTAATTGGTTTTGATTTTTAGCATTGCAACACAATGGCCAATTTATTAACAGAAAACTATTTAGTAATTATTATAATTCCTAATTACATTTGTAGAAAACTGGTCTGATGTACAATAAAGGAAATTGTAATAAAATATATTGGTTTGTCAATACAACCTTGTATAAAGAGGTCAAATAAGATGGAAGTGTCAAGGTATCTATCAGAAATACAATATATCCAATTTCATATATAAACACAAATAGTGTTACTTTTTTTGTTCATTGTATATCAACAATTAGTAAGTGTACTAATTAAGCCTTAGCTTAACATTAATCTGCAGCTTTGGAGATTGATGATAAGGCCAATAGAAGAGGAAATTCCAGTACACATCTTATGTGGTTATACCACTCATGGATAATTGAAATATCTCCTTTAGAAAGTATAAACTCTATTCTGAGAAAACCATCACTTAACCATCCCTCATGGGTCTAGATAGCGATCTTTGAAGAAAGGCAAGCACAATAGATTTATACAGGGGGGAAAGGAGATTATTAGTAATGTAGACTAATAACCTAATATGCACCATGTTAGGTTGACCTCCATGCAGTTCTCCTGGAATACAACATGATAAACTCCTGGTGAATCTGTCATGATCATCATCAATTGTAAACATTATTTCTAATGAACATTAAGTAGTGTATTTAAGTGTGGAAAGAACATAATAAACAAAGCAGTTAATGTTGAAAATTACATGAAGATTACAAAAGCAATGCTATTCCTTACAGTGTAACTTCTTCATTCATATAAGTTATAATTTAATTTATTATTTTAAAGAACAACATGCATGTTTCTTGTTAATTCTTCATGTGATGAGGCTGCCTTGCAAATAAAAAATAGTGCAATAAAAAAAAATGACTATACAAAAGTTTGAATTTGAAAAGTTTGAAGATTATTTCTATTTCTACTACCATTAACCTAATATAAATTTGAAAATATATATTACTAATATGTTATAGTTGTAAATTTATTTATTCAATCACACATAGAATTATATAGATTTCAATTTAATTTTGTATATAATTGGATCATATCCCAATTTAATATCTTAACATAGTGAAAAACAAAGTGAAGTTATAAAGTATTGAGGCAGAATAAGGCCAAAAAAGTTATAAGAATTATGTGTTAGATGATATGGCGAGGCAGTGAATAATGAAGTCATTGTGAACAGGGATGTTTGGAAGAGAATAACATATTACATCATCCAAAAATTAATGGGATAATGAAGATGATGAGTATAAAACAAAGTTGCATCCACTGTCTATATGGATAAATCTTTTAAACTATTTTTAACAGATTTCAATGTAGTTTACACCAATAAATAAATTGATTCGAGACTAAGGTTTACATGTATAATCATAATGTTATTATTTACTCCACACTGCCCGAAATTAGTATCTCCATTGAAAACATGTAAAACCGAGGTGAGTCACTAGTATAGGACATTCATTTACAGAATTCACATAGGATAGAATACATATAGATAATAATAATGTAATAAAATGAAAAATTCTAATAACACAGCTGAAAAGTAGAGATTTACTCACGCCAAATATTTCGTTCCGGAGTCTTCGGCCCGTCATTTTCATCAGAACTGGAATCCAGGGTGCTAATGATGCCCAAATCGCAGTCCTCACTATCGCTTTCGCTGTCCACGACAGGAAGACGCCTGTGCTCAGTCAGTGACTCCTTAATGGGCTCTGGGTTACTTTGGAACAACCCCTTTTTTCTTTCAGACATTTTAGGAGTGTGCGTATGTGGAAGACGCTGGGAACGTCGAGGCGTTACTCCAGCCATGATTCTAACTATTCTTTTCACAATAATTTACAAAATCACAAGTGGAAGTCTAATTAAACCGCATGCAACAGTCAACCCAATTTATTTTATTGAGATCACTCTTACAATAGTAAAGAAATAAGTAAACATTTTGTAACAATTTACAAATTAAGAAGTAAGAAAATGTTTTTAATACTTGTTATAGCAAATAGTAAAGTAAAATTGTCGAAAAACGTTTAAAGGAAAGATTCTACAAACGTTACCCAGCGACCATTGTTGTTTGGCGCGTAAACATCTGTCACTAACAGTGTTACCATATATCATATACAGTATTCCAGTTGTAGAATATCGTGGATAGAATATTTTTATCGAATCGTTGTTAATTTACGTGACCCTAAAAGATTATACTCAATGGCTTTTTTAATATTATGAAATATTAAAAAAGCATCTTTTTTAAATAATTCCTATATGAAGTATTCTCTACCTACGAATTAAAGGTAAGTTCTGTATGTAATGGCAATATTTCGTACTGGAGCATGGCGCGTTAATATGAAATATCTATTTATACTAGCTGTCCCGGCAAACGTTGTTTTGCCTTAAAATAAAAAAAAAGATTAAGGGTGGACTACCCCTAACATTTAGGGGGATGAAAAATAGATGTTGGCCGATTCTCAGACCTACTCAATACGCTCACAAAATTTCATGAGAATTGGTCAAGCCGTTTCGGAGGAGTATCGGAACGAAAACTGTGACACGAGAATTTTATATATAAGATATAGTAGACTAATATAAAGAAATAGTGCTTGTGAAATCGTAAGGAGTATAATTTCTGGATCTACACCCATTTTGGAAATTCTTTTATCAATAGAAAACCACCCAAACAATAAAGACTCTTTCATAGTAGTCAGATTTACAAAGTAAGTCGGATAGAAAACGGTCGAACGAAAATGTTTCTTACGAACGCTATATTAACGATTAGACGATTGAGTTCTAGAGGACAGTTAGTGAAGTGGAATGTAACTTTTTAAATTAAAATAAATAATCTAAAACTAGCTTAAGTTCTTGTTGCTGACGTACTGGCCGTATAGTTTTATACTCTATATTTATATTGTTTTTCTATTAAGAATTTTATTTATTTTTGTATACCGAACATTATAGTTTAATAAAGAATTTTAAGAGACAACAATGGTTGAGGAGTGAGTGCCTGTTAAAATAAGTCCAGCCATTTCGAGATTAGCTAGAACAAACATACAGGCGGTTAAGTTTGTTTGAAACTACAAATAGACACTTAAATTTTATTTATTTGTGGCAACATAAATATAACATATATACCAGAACTAAAATTTAAGAACGACGTTTCAACTAAAAGGGAACAGATCCGAGTCTTTCTCATTAGGCTGTTAAATGTAAGTAGGTAGGTATATACTTTAGGCAATCACAACTCAGAAAAAAAGTCTTGACTTTGAATTGTATGCAAATTATTGTTAGAGTACGTAAATATTCATTACAGAGATTTCAGTATTTGCTCATTGTCGTCATTATAATAATACATACAATAATAAGCGAGTGTTGGTACGTCTTATATTATACTACGCACGATATAGCATAGTGCGGGATGTAATATTATGTTATCTATGCTGCGGGTAACAGCGACACAAAAAAAAAAAATTAAAGCACAATAAAACTATATACCTACTACTTACAGTGGTATTGGTTACCTAGTGGTCAAAATTCGACCATAACTATGGTTTAATTTAATTTATTTATCATTCAGTAAGACTATAGACAAATAATATTAATCTAGTCTATGTAATAAATATGTTATCTGTGTCTAGTCTCAATTTGGCCACTTACTTTCTTGAATTTCCTATTTGAGAAATATGAATGCGTAGCGGTTTTTGTATTGATTGCCGCATGCATTCTTATGTAAAATGTGAATACTATAACTATCACATGGCAATTTTAAGAAGCTATGTCGTGGTCAAGTGTCTTGTGTAGTCATGCTCACTAAAATGTCCAGATATGTGGCGGCGTGGTGGGTCGGATCATTGGGCTCCCTATAATATGGTTGAGCGCAGTGATGGCTGGCATCCGACATACTCGTGAGTGCTGCTTGTAGGGACTGGTCTGCTCTCTCACTACGACTGATTTACTCTTATTTACTTACTCAACCATATTGGTTGTATATTTCATATTTTCTCTATTTGAGCAATTAATTGTATTGGTGCTAGTTGGTCACACATTTGTATTCACACACTTCAACTTAAAAATGTAAAGTAATAACGAAGTTATTTAAAAGAGCAACACTTACGTTTCTTGCTCATTCTTCTTGTGATGAGACAGCTATCCGGATGAGCGGTAGATTGAAAAAAAAAGTGTTATGACTATTCAAAAGAGCTTCAATGTAACTTTATTTGAATAAATGTTTTTTTATTTGTAATCGATACCAATAAACAAAAGCTTAAAAATGCGTGTGGGCGCATGTGTATAGTAATTTTCAAAATCGGTTCTGTACTTCCAACAACTTCACAAACTTTATCTCTTAATAATATTGGTAGGTGATGAATGATGAAAATTTTATTAAATGCACTATGCTATAGCGCGCGGAGAATAACAGTCATACCAGGATTGAGGTTGCTGGGTAAGAAATCTATGCTTGATTTCACTGCCAAACAGTATTTCAAACTACCATTACATTATCTTCTCTATCGCTGAAAAATCTTCTTTCATAGTCGAATATCATGGTCCCCTCCGATCGATTCACCGTCCCCCCTCTGATCGATGCCCCGTCCAATTCAAACGGGGATCAAAATTACGACGGCCTGAGCCGAGGTTCTAACCCCTAGCTGTGCCCTCAGACTTAAGTCTTCAGCCGCTACAAAAATTTTCCGCGGGTTTGGAGTGCCATCTGCACGGTGGAGCTGTGAGCCAGCTGCGGCCAACAGCATTAGAGTAGTCTGAAAAACAAAACCTATCGTAGTCAATTCCTAGAGAATTTGTCACGATGGCTAACTGCCTCCTTCACTGGTGCTCTGCCAGCGTATACTTTTAGCGCAGGCAGGTGCATCATTTCATTATCATCCATAAAAAATATTTAGTACCTACCTGGGATCATAGTTTCATTTTATATTTTACAATACCTATACCTATGATTACACTTTTACTTGACTTCATTGATCCTCTTTTTCCAAGTGATCAGGGTTGTATTCTTAATATCTGGTGGGTTGTACGATACTGAGTATGGAGGTGTACAAAACTGAAATGCATGTTTATAATACCCAGTAGCCAATAGCCATACTGTACAGTTTCCAATATAGGTCATGTTTCCAGATTACGTTGATGTAATTTGAGACGTGAGCGTCCATCTTGGATTTAATATCCGCGCCAGCCAATCAGAATGCAGGAAGAGGCGGCGCAAGCGCGGGCTTCCAATATTAAATACCGACCACTTAACGAAACCCTTACTAATAATATAAATGCGAAAGTAACTCTGTCCGTCGCCCTTACACGCCAAAACTACTGATCCGATGTTAATGAAAATTGGTACATAGATAGTCCAGACCCTGAGAATGGACATCGGCTACTTTTTAATGTGAAAAAAGAGTCGTAAGGCATTGAAAGGGGAGATGAAAGGTTGTATCGTCATTTTTAAAGCTGGAAGCATGAAACTTATGACTTCTAACTAATTAAATAAATATGACATTAAAAGTTAATACAATTTTTACTCTTAATTGGGTAAAATAAAATAGGGGATGAAAGTTTGTGTGGAAATTTGTAATTTTTGAAGCTAGAATCATGAAACCTTTTGTAACCCAAAAGGTTTCATGATTATTGATTATTAAATAATTTTTCTTTTTTTGGTCAAGGTCACTATTCCATACGTAATAAGTCGCGAACACAGCTAGTTTAAAATAAAAACGATATAACTATATCGTTATATGGAGAATGCAATGTTATTGAGTTACCATAGATTTTTTATTTATGCTTTTTTGTCCTTTTTATCTAGTAATACGACCTATTTATATCTATTTTATACTTATATCTTCGTGGAGTGTAATATTTGCTGCACTTTCTGTTATACCACGTTCATTATCGACGGAAAAAAAAACAAAAAAACCATGAAGAATACAATTGTATAGCTATAATTGTTATACAATCATAAATTGGTATTTTATAAATAAAAGCGCCTCTTTAGGTATTTTATGGCGGTCTCCTACCAGCTTAAAACCTGATGGTATACCTTTCAGCTCGTGACCGGCGGGGTTGCGGGAACAACATACTTCTGCGTCCCCGCCCTGAGCTCGGAAGGGTTTGCCAACCCTAAACAGAGCTGATATTCTGAACGCCACTAATTTATAAGGAAAAAGATGGTAAAGTACAGTTAATCTATTTTCATTATTCAAATTATTTGTAAAGTAGTTTTTCCGTAGGTTGACGCTTAGATACTAATCGCCTATTTTAAATAATATTGACGGCCTCGGTGGTCTATCGGTTTAGCACATCGCCTTACTTCCGATGGTCGCAAGTTCGATTTCTCGCACGGCACAAACATTTGTATTCATTAGTATGATTGTTTGTATCGGTCTGGGTGTTTTCTATGTACTTAATAATATCTATTTATTTACGAAAAAAAATATGTATTTGTATCAGTTGTTTACTACCCAATATTATGTTATCTGTGCTACCCATAACACAAACTTTAGCTAGCTTAACATGGGACTAGATGGCGCTGTGCAAAGCACCTCGGCATTAAAATTCTTTTTTTTTTTTCAATTCTATATTTGAAATCACGATGTGTATATTGTAGGTACGTCATAAGACCGTATGTAAATAGGTAAATTTTCACATAAACTAACACAAAAGCGCCACGTCATTTATACGTTGAGTCGGGGTCGATGGGATCACAGAACTGAATAATAAACTCTGATTGTAATGAAAATGAGTATTTATATTGAGTTTACCTTGTGCTTAAGGGACTATATATGAACAATTGTTCATTAAATGTTATTGTCTTGTCTGCTGCTTAAAATGACTTAAGACTAAATTTATTTTGGTAGGTAAGCGTAGATATTACAGTAGAAATTTATTATAACGAACCCCGAACGCAGGCAAGGATATTGTTAGTAATGTGAATTAATAACCCCATTGCTAGCATGTTAGGTTGACCTCCACGCCTCCAGGGGGAAACCACACCACCATGGAAGTCATCATGGTAAATTCTTGGTGAATTTGTCACGATGTCGATTAGCTAACTGACCTGGCATGCTCATCTTATCATCATCCTCCACTGGTGCCCCGCTAGTGTAAACCATTAGCGCAGGCGGGCACACCATTCCATTATCATTACATAGTATACAACAAAGTCGCTGTCGCTGTCCGTCCGTCTGCGCAGTTTTAAAGATTTAAGCATACCCTATGTATGCTTAAATCTTTAAAACTACGCAACTAATTTTGAAGCGGTTTTTTTAATAGTTGATTCATAGATTTATATATATAATACATGTACACTCGTGAGAAGCCGGGGCTTTTTATCTATAAAAAACACCCCATTTATATCTATTTTATACTTATATGTTAGTAATGGAATTAATAATCCTATTGCTGCACTTTCTGTTATACCTCCACGCGCCTTCATTATCGACGGAAAAACTTAACTGTCCTAGAGAAAAACATAGTTTTTCGAAGACAACAATTTATATCATCATAATTGTTTTGCCATTCCAGTCATAGTTATTTTAGTTAAAAAATGTTCTGTAAACAGTGCGTTCTCTGTATGCAGTCTACTCTGTGAATATCATTACACCTAGATGCTAACTACTTTATTACCGTACTTTATGTTATTTAGTATACTCTAAGATTATGTGCGGCTTCATTAGCGCAATCTAAATACGTATATGTATATAATTACAAAAGCGATAAGCAACATTGCACCTAATAACAGAGAAGTAAGGAAACTAATAATTGCATAATAAAGGAAAAACATAGAATTCAATCACTTAAGACACGAGTTAAAGGAGTTATTCGTTACTATTCTTATGCCACTAATTTAAACGTTTTGAAACGATTTTTATGAAATTTTAGTGCATATTTCAAGAGGAAGGTTTATATATATAATAAGTCATGTAGTTGTCCTCGTGTATACCTATACATATATTACTAGGACTACGATTATTCCTAGATTATCACGTCGCGATATCCGCGTGGATTATAATTTAACTAACTGTACCCGCGACTCGGTCCGTGTGGAATTTAACTTTATTTTTCTAAAATAAAAGAATTTCTCTGAATTAAAAATAGTCTAAGTTACTCCTTATTACATCAGCTATATGCCAAAAGTTCCATCAAAATCGGTCAAGCCATTTCAGAGATTAGCCGGAACAAACAGACAGACAAAAATTGTATAAAATGTTATTTTGGTGTATGTACCGCATTTACATTCATATGCATGTAGTAAAAAACGGTTATTTCAATATTATAGAACAGACACTCCAATTTTATTTATATGTATAGATAACAAAATACAGTTAAAATAATACCAGTTATATTAGATATTATCTACAGGAACTATTCCTAAAGCACCAGAACATCTGAAATTAAATAAATTAATCTACATTAACTACAATTTATTACCGCTTTATGTTACGAGAGAATAACACTGAAAATTATGAGTAAAGTAACGAGAGACTTGGCATGACCCGTCCTCGGTACTAATCACCGGTTTCGCTGTGAAAAGGAGAGTATAATAATAATAATAATAAAATAAATACAAAACTTATCTGATAGACATTGCAGTTTTAGGAACTACACACAATTGCATAATAATTGGAAAAACATGCAGAATTCAATCACTTAAGAACGAGTTAAGGAGTTATACAATACTAGTTCTCTCATATGTATCAAAATCACCTACATAGTATGAAACAATTAGTTAGAAAAAAATCTCCTCTAAACGCCTTGAAACGATTTTTATGAAATTTTATTCAAAATATTCGGTAGGTCTGGAAATAGACTATTTAACAAAACGTCTATTATGTAAAGTTGTCCACAATATATACACACACATATACACATGCACTACGATTATTCCTAAGATTATCACGTAAAGCGTAAAAAACCTGCAAAGGCTGCGAAATTTAGTGTAAAGAATAATAATAATAATAAACCCAGTAAAAAAAGCTGAGAAAACAATATAAAATTATAATAATAATATTAATCACATTACATAAAAAAAAATAAAAGTATATCTTCTACCTAATTAACACAACATACAAAATACCTCAGATAAAGTTTACATTAGCTATATGCAATAAAACAATTCCATCAAAATCGGTCAAGCCATTTCAGAGATTAGCCGGAACAAACAGACAGACAAAAATTGTATAAAATGTTATTTTGGTGTATGTACCGCATTTACATTCATATGCATGTAGTAAAAAAGGTTATTTCAATATTCTTCAGAACAGACACTCTCCCACACCTGCTTAATTTTATTTATATGTAAATAAATAAAAAAATACAGTTAAAATAATACCAGTTATATTTATTATCAAATAATAAACTATTACAAAGCACCAGTTAAAACGTCTGAAATCAATAAATTAACAAAACACATCCCACTACAGGGGGCAATGAGTCCGCCCTCTCTGCTAAGTGTTTAGCCTTTACAGTAAATAAACAATAAAAAATCAACGACGACTACAGCACTTAAGTTCAAAACTGTCCTCTACTAACAAAGTAAACATAAAAATTTGGCAATAACTTAATAAAATTACAAAGTTAATAATAATAATAATAAAATACAAATACAAAACTTAATAAATAATAATATTGCAGTTTTAGGAACTACACACAACCTCCAGAAAGAATCTATACATATAAATAAAATTATGCAGACCTGAAATAACATGTTTTAACAAGAACTAATCTGAAACAGGAAGGATTTTACAATACCGATTTTCTCTCATCCACTGATGTAATTATCATACGTAATCACTTACATCATAGAAAAACAATAAAACTTCCACGCGGACAAAATCGTGAGAACAGCTAGTAAGAGAATAAAAATTATATGCGCCTCACAATGACTTGATCATTTTGAATACCTGTAGGTATTCAAAATGGCATATAAAACAGTTTTAAATTGTAACAAGATGTATTATATCACGTGAGTAATATTTAGTCGTGAGTTTCGTTAAGTCGGTCTAGAATTGATCAAGATACCTGCGGGATAACTAACATACGTAGGTACTTTTATCTACGCAGATAATACTGTTGAGTTTTCGCGGTATTTTGAAAGAATTTTGATAATTTCTTTTGTAAATAAATAGGTCTATATATAGTATCTAGCTGTAACTGATTTTGGTATTTTCCCTACATATTTCAAACAATGCTATGCGCATAATTTCACTTCTCCATATAAACTGTTTTATTAAAGTATTTTATTGTAAGATCAGTTAAGCAGTTTTATGGCGAATAGGTTACAAACTCAAATTTAGTATGGAGAAGCAAGTGGCCAGAATCAGGGAAAATATTTTCTTAAAATATAACATATAACACACTTTCTGATGATTTTGTAAGTTCACGTGATGATATTCCGTAAATTAAATAATAAGTTCTAACAATACTCGTCAATTATGTTCTATATGTAATAAATCTCATATCACAGATAACAAGTAGATAGGTATGAATGTTTACTATATAAAAGTACATAATTTTGATTATAAAGAAGTAAAATAAATCAACCAAATCATTAATCAAGAAATAAATATTGAACAGTAATTGAATTTTTCAGCTGATTACTACAAAATGTCCCTAGTCATTTACCTACATATTTATTATGAAACATCCAATTTATCGACACAAGCCGTTGTAAATAATTCAATACGCGCTTGTCTTTTCAATACTATTTAAAATCTGCACAACAACCGCAATGTATAAAAACTTTATACGAACGGCCAGAATATTTTATATCGTAAAAAATACAATAGTCAAAAAACCTACATTTTTTATATACTGCGCGCTAGCATTCTCGATACTAAAACAACTACCTGTTTCATTGAACCATTACAACGTTGCATTTGCTAATAAAATACAATAAAAAAGGTATTTTAACGTTAGCAACTATACACAATCGCAGGTATGATAGTAGAGACAGCAGATATCTCATCATCATTGATAATATGTCGGTTTGGCAACGTCGCGGCGGCTTCGCTCACCTGGCCGTACCTGCGCAGTGTCAACAGGGGGGGCAAGCGAACGGAACGCCGCCAGTAAGCCAGTTGAAGTGATGCACACTGTGCCTACAGACACGCCGCGTTACCTGTCCTGAACACTCAAATATTCCATCAAGACTAATTTCCAATTCGGAAATTGAATGTGATTAGTACACAAGTGTTAATAGGAGATGTGAAAACGCTAGCGCTTCAAAATTGAGGCAGTTTAGTGCCACACCAGGGCGCGTTCATCGACACCCCAGTAGACCAGAAGCGCAAGTCACCGGGTAGCCTCGACAGAAATTCGTTTACCAACGTGATGTTAGTTAATTCTAGATTTTCACCTGCAGCGGAAACGGCTTACGTAGACGAGTAGCGGTAAAACGCCGTCCGCGCCACACGCGACTCGTTCCATGTTGAGTAACCGTCAGGTTTCTAAAAAGTGCTTTCGACGTATATAAGAACACAAACAAGCATCGCGAGTTTTCGGACGACAGATTATTGACAGTGGTTGCTTAAGAATAGAACGCTCGAAAGGTTTTGGTACTGTCCCTTTAGAAAGTAGGACTTTATTTTTGTTTCAACGTAACTGATTTGTGGATAGTTTATGACTTCATAGGTGTAAGAACAGTGTATAAAATTGTTACCAGCGACTATTGGAAGGTGTTGTGATAAATAGCTGGTGTTCAGTGTATGGCGCGATGATTAGCGGGGGCTGGGTGTGCGCACTGCACGTGCGCACCGCTGGGCTCAGTGGCGCAGCCCTCGGGTCTGATGAGGAAGAGGTGGTCTACCTCGCTTATATCGTCATAGATGTTCACACCAATCAGGTAAGGATCTATTATTCTAATGACTACATTATTTGGGTTGTAAATACGGTAATCATGTGGTAATAATAAAGCTACAAAGTTAGCAAATTACTTTATATATACCAGTAATTAAGAAGGTATGCAATGAGGACGGTTAGAAGCGCAAGTAATAGTCTTTTGGACTATTCCGATAGCATTATAAGAAAATCGCAAAATATTTTTGAAAGGTTTGGTGATAAGCTGATTATGTTACGAATGAAATGAAGCAATTCAATTAGGACACCTGGCAATTAATTGTTATACCGTTATAAGCTCAATTAAATTTTAGCAATTAATTTATGCAGCAAATAACTAAGATTTTTTTAAAATGCCTATTTTTTAATTGTAATAAGCCTTAATTATATAATACACATAATAGTATTTATAATACTATTATGTGTATTATATAATTAATACAGTACAATTTTTCATACCAAGCTTTATTAAACATTTGTTAATATTATAAAACTTGACTTATCTTTAAAATAGTCCACCTACCTAAATAATTATTTAATTATTTCACTTTTTAAATACATATTTGATGATTTAAGATATAATTAAATATCGTAATATCATAATTATATAATATAATATCAATACACGCCTAATTTAATTAGACAATTATGAAGATAAAATGTAATAGGCAAATATTCGTCTTCAATTATGTAATTTATATCTACCTACATTCTCTATTTGATTTTTATTACATATTAAATTCTCTAACCAGACTTATTCTGCATTAGGAATTTCAATTTATAGTCATTTGTTCCTCTTAGAAAGATTACCCAAATTCACATGGCACTGCAGTTACTGGGTTTGCATAGACAGTATAATAAAAATACATTAAGACATACAACTATAGCTATATACATGTACCACACATACATATATACACCCAAACTCATCACTTTTTGTAGTTTATTTATATAAACATTAAAGCACAGATGCAATATATAAATGTATGTACATATGGCGAAGTTAACATCTGAGGACGTTGTCTACCAGTCAACCATAAGGCAAACTGAGAAATTAGTAAGCGGCGCATTAGTGGTAACTTTTCGTCATAATTCATTCACATATTAGACATACATACTTAAATACGATACATAATATACTACAAATTAATAATAACACAATTTAGGAACAGAAAAATTACCCTTGAATAACATAGAGACGATAAATAGGTATGTAATTACAGCAATATATATCTAGAGACCCATACCCAGGAGTGGGACGACAATGGGTTGTTGTCATTAGGATTCTCACGTAGTTAAGGCGGCGCGGAGCGGTCTTGTATTTTAAATATTCTCTTGTATCTTTGTATTTGTGTTTTGTTCACCAAGTAACCATTCGTCTGAATGAAAGGACTGGTGATATAATATTCTTACTGGATCACTCACTCCACATTCAGTCATTTCGGTCGTTCAGTTGTTTCATTCAGTTATTTTTGTTTTAGCGCAAATTAATTTCATATAAGACTAATTACAAAAATCAACATTACAAAATGTATAGCTTCCACATTCAGTTATTTCATACAGTTCATATTAAGTTATTTTTATTTTTTTGTTTTAGTGCAAGCCAATTTAATATAAATTATGTCAATTGAGTGAAAACTATAATTAGCTTCAATGTTACCACATATATAATAAATAAATATTAGTTTATAAAGGATAAAATTTTCATACTAAATTTTATACCTACACAATTTTACATACTTTTGTAAATCTATAAAGTAAACGTATGAGAAATTATCATAACAAGTGTTATCTTAAAACACATGTAGGAAACGCAATTAAATACAACATGTATTGAAAAGAAACGGCAAAGAATTATATTGTGTAGTAAAAATATACTTAGTTTCATTAACTCGAGTAATACAAAATAGGACGTAACGCGTTATCATTGGATAAAACTGATAACACGTCAGGCATTCCTAAATAGGAGAACAGTATGGGTCTTCAAATTATTTGCGATTGCCAGATTTATTACTCACTTGTTTGATGAGTAATTGAAAAAGGATTAAAACTGTTTAGGTGCGGTATATATAATCTATTCCTATAAAATTCTTATATTGAAATTATATAGGTTACTAGCTACTCGCCCCGACTTCGCACGGATGTACATCTATACGTATAAATAAAATTGGACTGTCTGTTTGTAATATTCAAATAACCGTTTTTTACTACATGCATATGAATATATAGTAAATACGATATATACACCAAAATAACATTTTTTGCAATTTTTGTCTGTCTGTCTGTTTGTTCCGGCTAATCTCTAAAATAGCTGGACCGATTTTAACGGGACTTTTTTTGGCAAGTAGCTGATGTAATAAGGAGTAACTTAGGCTACATTCATTTTAGAAATTCTTTTATTTTAGAAAAACAAAGTTAAACTCTACGTGGACGAAGTCACGGGTGCAGCTAGTCATACTATATAATCACAAAATTACAAATGTTTTCACCGTGCTGGGAATAAAATCCGCGACCATCAGAAGTAGCTAGACCACCAAAACCCATCTCGGTGATCTAGCGGTGGGGCTTTATTGGCGGCGGTTTTGCTACCAGTCGTAGTCTTTTATAATAGTTTTCGTCTGTTACTTTATTTAAACCATGCAATGGATTTTGTGTATATTTATAGGTATTACTGAAATAGGAGTACTATCTACAAATATACACAACATCCGTTGTAGGTACTAGGTTAGTAGGTACATTGAGTTTATTCATTTCATTCATTGTAACTTTTACTATAGATATAAAGATGCAGGCAATATATGTCCAAATCTATACTATTGTAATAATATAGATTACTAGCTGTCCCGGCAAACGTTGTTTTGCCTTAAAATAAATAAAAAAATTTAGGGTTTGGACTACCCCTAACATTTAGGGGGATGAAAAATAGATGTTGGCCGATTTTCAGACCTACTCAATACGCTCACAAAATTTCATGAGAATCGGTTAAGCCGTTTCGGAGGAGTATGGGAACGAAAACTGTGACACGAGAATTTTATATATAAGATTAGTACAGATTTGGCATATGTATAGCATGGTAGAGACATCAGAGAGCGGAGAACGTTGCCTGTATTTTATTAAAAAAAAATAGATATTCCAACAATAATTGTATCTGGGCAAAGTCGGAGCGTATCCCTTGTTTAGTAGATAGTTAAAGATTGCTTAATAAATTCACACGACATAACACATAAGGAAAAAAATATGAATACAAAAAAATTAACGTTCATAAGCGGCTAAAATGTAGGTACTACATGAATAAATGTTTTTTTATTTAATTAGATTTAACAACAGAAAATTTAAGGGTGACGCAACATCGGCATCCCCGGTCACCCCTCTCTTTCAAATGGGGATAGAAATTACGATAGCCAGAGCCTAGGTTCGAACCCCCAATGGTGCTCTTAGGCAGAAGTCATCTCCGTTAGGTCATAATTCCTTCTGCGTGTTTGGAGCGCCATCTGCACTCGCCCCCTATCGTCCGGTGAAGCTGTAAAGGCCAGCTGCGGCCAACAGCAATAGTTCGAAAGACGTCTGGTAATCTATACATATAAATAAAATTGGAGTGTACGTTTGTAATATTGAAATAACCGTTTTTTACTCTATACATATGAACATAAATACGGTACATTGACCAAAATAATATTTTTTACAATTTTTGTCTATCTGCCTGTTTGTTCCGGCTAATCTCTGGAATGGATGGACCGATTCTGACGGGACTTTTATTGTCATGTAGCTGATGTAATAAGGAGTAACTTAGTGTACATTTATTTTAGAAAAAAAAAAGTTAAATTCCACGCGGATGAAGTCGCGGGACCAACTAGTATATAAAATAATACACAACGAAACGAAAAATCTCGAAAAGGAAGTTAAAATACTTCAACTGTTTTCTGTTTTGGCTTATGTAATGATAAACCGGTATTTTCAACAGTTTTTATGTAGTTACTAACAATTGTCTTGTTTATTTAAACTTTAGTCTTACTTTCTCTAGTTACCTACTGGCCATGGGAAATTAAATCGAAATATCGAAATCCATTCAGTAGTTTTTGTGTGAAAGAGTAACAAACATCCATCTAAACTTACAAACTTTTGCGTCTATAATATAAGTAAAATAATACATTTATATTAATACTAGCTTTTGCCCGCGGATTCGCTCGCGTTAATTTATCCCTTTATGAATGGAATTTATCAAAATCCTATCTTAGGAGATGCCTACGTCATAGTAGTTTTATGCAAGCAAAGTCTCATCCCGATCGGTTTAAAATTGACAAAGTTTCAAACAAACTTTCATCCCCTATTTTATCCCCTTGGGGATTAAATAGGGGATTGGGAATTAATCAAAATCCTTTCGTAGCGGATGCCTATGTCATAACATCTACCTGCATGCGAAATTTCAGCCCGATCCGTTCAGTAGTTCGGGCTGTGCGTTGATAGATCACTATGTCAGTCACCTTTGAGTTATATATATTTAGACTACTATAAGTACATATAAGAATATATAAATAAAGAAAGTGAATACTGTGGTTTAACTATCCCTTACAATTGATTATATACATGAACAGCACCACTAGTTATCGCTCGTAATTCATGCATTGACATTCCAGAGATTTTCCGCCTGTTTTTCAGCTGAATTAGTAGAAGACTGAAGTATCCATGCAGACAACTCTTTACAGTAAAATTGTATAACTTTAATAATTTAATTTAATTTATCCGACATAATAGATAAAATAATAATAATATCAGGACAATTCACACAGCGCCATCTAGACATAAGTTAAGCTAGCTAAAGCTTGTGTTATGGTTACTAGATAACTGATACGAATACATAGATACATTTTTTTTCGTATACATAGAAAATACCCAGACCGATACAAACAATTATATTTATGAATACAAATGTTTGTGCCGTGCGAGGAATCGTACTCGCGACCATCGGAAGTAAGGCGGTGTGCTAAAGCACTAGACTACCGAGGTCGT